GATAACAGCCATGTCTACCAACCACGACGATCGACGCGTACACGACGACCAACAACTCGTCTCCAAGTGGATCCGCGTCAGAGGACCTATCGTCAAATGTGATATGAAAGGATCAGTATTGTATGTAATGTTCTCCTAAAAAGGGGAGGTGTTAGGTATCCACAGATTACTGAGATCACTGCATACTGATATGACTTACTAGGTGTAAACACAGTATATAAACCCAGTAATTTATCAGTGACTACTTTTCTCTCTCATCATTCGTCTCAGTCGGCTCGACCAATAAACCTTCCTGACACACCTGGCTATCAACCGTCTACCAGCGGCCCACAAACGTAACAGATTGCTTCCGCAAAAGATTAAACGAACCTTTGTGTTTTTGGGAAAGCCCTTGATGAACAATGACCTTTCGTTGCGTTCTTGACGCCGCTTGTTTTCTTCATCTATAATAACACTTTCGTCCAGCTGAAAAGAAGATTTTTATACGATGGAACTAGTTGCTATGGCCATGATCAGTGTTATGAAGGTCGTTACGAGTTAACCTTAATGTGTTTTGAAGGTTGTTCGGTTGGAGCAGCTTTTCTTTTTACACCTTGCTGAGACTGTTGTCCATCAGATTTACTCTTAATGAATGAATGAAACAATCTTATAATTCCTTGTGCAAAGTTGTAGTGGAGCACATACCGGAGCCTTCACTTCCTGTTTTAAGAGCAGGTCGTTGGAAGCAGCCTTCGTTTTTACACCTTGCTGAGATAGTACTTCCTTGGATTTAAGCTGAACCGATGATTGAATCAACCCTACATTATCTAGTTCAAAATTCTACTGAAGCACATACCGGAGCTTTTACTTCCCCTAATTTCTTGGGTGGGACTTTTAGCCCATCAGATTTTATAGTCTGAGATTTCGGTGCGACGTTTTCCTGAAAGTTCAACTGGAATAAGAAATGGAATCGTTCGCTTCAAGGCTAAGTCTTTCATATGACAAACCATGATCTATTTGATGATATCGGTCCTTTTTTACTAACTCTTAATACCTTACACTGAAGAAAATTAACGTCCTATCGTACATGAGCAGCTAGCCGCAAGTAAAGCAGCCTAACACACATAACAATTGTGATGAGATTCACAAGAGTAAGCCCCTCTTAACAATAGGAATAAGTGAAACCTCTTCCTCTTCCTCGTCCTCTTCTTCATCCTCTTCTTCTTCTTCATCAGCATCTTCGTCATCCATATCCTCATCTTCTACTTCCTCTTCATCCTCATCCTCTTCGTCCTCATCGCTGCTATCATCATCGAAGTTTAGCGTTGGTTTCTGTACCTCTTTCCCATCTTTACCAAGTAGACCTTTCTTTTGAGGGTGAGGAGTTAGGGGAATTTTCTTGGAAGACGTAACAGGAGTCGGTGCGGCAGAAACATCGACCTTCTTTTTGACATCTGTTGATTTTCCGCTTTTCAGCGCACTTTTCTTTTCTTCCGCCTGTTTTTGCTTTACAGCTGGCGTTCGCATAATAGGTTCAACTTGTTCCTCGTCTTCATCGCTTTCTTCATCATCTTCCTCCTTAAAAGTTCAAGGTTGTCATTGAAAACACTTTTTGAAAAGACCAAAACAAAGAAAAGACAAAATACTGAGATACTCCGATTACCTCTTCGCCTTCTTCATCGTCATCGTCATCATCATCATCGTCTTCATCCTCATCTTCATCTTCATTAGTCGCATTAGTTAATGTTTTGCCCGGTTTATCTGCTTTCTTGGGTGCAACCGCTGAAATTTCAAAATTGTTGGGAACGATGAATCATATATAGTACGAGTAAGCTTTGATTTGATATCACACATGTTCACTGAAAATGGTAAACAAGGCTATAAAACTAACCATCTCACACTCAAATTACGATCAAGTTGAGCAAGTCGTGAAAATGATAGCTCAATGCAGACGAAAAACTTGTAAAAGTTGGCCTTCGGGGCCAATTTGAAAACATGCTTTACTTTCTGACTTTACTTGAATTTGCTAATCCTGACATTTTCCAGAAATACTCACGGTTATGTAGAGCAAGTTAACCATATAAACGACAACCACTGCTAAATTCTACCCATTGCTATACGTTTGGGTATATTCTTGAAAGCATAGTAGAAAAATTATGTATACCTTTGTTGGAGCCTGATTTAGAAGGCGCCTCTTCCTCCTCATCCTCGCTATCTTCTTCATCCTCGCTAACTTCTTCGTCCTCGTCTTCTTCATCGTCATCTTCATCGGACTCCTGTGTCACGAGATTGGCTTTCTTAACGGCGCTATTCTTCAGAGCTGCGCCTGCCTGCTTTTTTGGTGAAGTGACAGATGGCTCTTCGTCTTCTAAATTGTGCTTAATTTGCACAGGAAATAAAAAGTCTCGAGACAAACAAAAATGTAAATTGACAAACAAAAGAATAAAAGAAATGTAAGGTTGCTAAAACTTCTGAGTATGAGGGAAAAACACGAGGGTCAACCGTAAAAGTCATAAGTTACACTACTATTGACCTAATTTGGCAGCTATTCACATCATCTGTGAGAGGAACGGGCAACATTCCGATTTTCAAACAGCGACGCCTTTCAGAGCTTGACCTAACACTGTGGCAGCAAGAAATTGCTTGTACTCACTATTGCCGCTTTGCATGAAGACATATCGATCCATACCTAGTTTGAACTACTAACGAACCACCGTGTGCCGACACTTGCCATGCTTTTTTTTCTATCAGGGACGGACACTTTTGATCATGATTAGCGAATAAGTACTAGTACAGAAGCACACCAAGCCCTTAATTTTAGAGAATTTTCGACTGCACACAAAACCGTGCGCACAGCACGAAAAATGGCGAATTTGACCCAAAATTTATCATCCCAGCTATATTTGATACAACGACCACATATGCTGCAACATGCAATATAATTTCAATTGCATTAAGGTGACAATCTTCACCGATTTTGCTTGAGTAGGAAATTCAGCCCGCTGCATCTAACACCAGCAAATTTAGGCGCTCCATAACTGGGTGGAGAGATGTTATGAATTATGAATTTCGTATTGCACACACATAAACATATATACATAATGTGATCATCACCACATTCCAACATATTGGGTTGTAACATAAGTTCGTAGAGTTTTATGTTGGAGTCATTTTACAACGAA